GTAGGGAAAATTTTAATACCTCTGACCAAATTGGAGGCAGGTTCCTTTTGCTTTGAGCCCTGTCAGATCCAATGAGTGAGTTCAGGTCCCCCTCCCCTTCCACTGAGTCTTGTGTTGTGACATAGCTGAAGTCCATGCCTGGTGGAATGACCTAATGAAAAGATTCAGCATCTGTGAACATTGTTTGACAAGAAAACAGCAGCAATGAAACAGTGGCATTGTGCATACCACCATCCTTGGCATGTGTCTCCCGAGGCAACTCACTCTGCGCCTTTGCCGGACCCTAAGCTTCCTCTCCAACTTGAGATCAAACCCATCATACAGTCCCCACTGCTCTTCAATCTCCTGCCTTGTGCTAGTGACAACCATTTCAGCAGCATCCACACCTAGCTCCTCAGCCTCAATCCTCCTCATGATCTTGTAGGTTGCATTGATGGCTTCCCTAGAGAGCCTCCCTTGCTTCAGCAACTGCTCAAACTTGTTCCGGCCCAACGAGTGCCCCGTGAGCACCATAGGCACATTCAATGCACCAGACAACTGAGCTGCTACCTCCCCAGCATCAGCATAGTGACCATGGATAACATAAGGCCAGGTTGGCTTCCCACCATTCACTTGCTCACCTAAAACTCTTGCCATGTTAACAATGTGACTGAGAGCACCATCCACAAATTCAGGTAAGTGAGGCCAAAGTGATTCTTTTGGTATATACCTGCAAGAATATGAATGTGTACTTGTAATCATATTCCATTTTATGACCTTACCAGTTACCCCAAATGGAAACTCATGTGTTGTAATTACTTGTCACGAGGTCCACATGGAAGACGAATGATGTATGCTCCCCCACAGTCACTGCCATCAGAGGGGCATGACAACATCTCAATAGGCTCTCCATAGCTAGAGTCTACTTCTCCTGGTGAAGCTATTTGTCTAGTCAATAGATCAACACGGTAAATTCCTTTTGTGTTGGCCAGAGCACGAGCTAGTTCTACAACGTATTTCACCTGAAATTGAAGCAATATTTTATGAGGTTAATACAGTATAATAGATCTGTCATGGCCAGTGTCCAGTGTCCAGTGAGAGCACAATGCTCCTGTGTCACAATTTGCCAATATGTGTAGAGAATAACTTAATTAAAATGTACTTATATTGTAAACAAGTACCTGACCACCAGTGTCAGAATCCCTTCCAAGTTCCATATTTTCTCCTCGTACCAAACCATGAATACTACAGTGACAACATTAAAACTGTGAAAATAATAAATATCTTTAAAGGAACGACAAGGTGACATGATGATATTAGGTACGGTACCTAATTAGGACAATGTAGAGGTTCCTAGAGTTATGATCCTCCGACCAAAGTTGCATTTCAGAACTGATTCTGGACATATTATCCTTGACAGACTCTGAAGCATTGGCATTAGCATCTCCTTTTTCTTTCTCACCTTCAGAGAGCTCAGAAAGGTCATTTGCAGCATCGTTTCGCCCTTGTTCACGATCAAGACGCCTTCTAGCAAGCCTTTGAGCATCATCCCATGCAATCTGCAACAACTAATGTTTATTTCCATGGATTTACTATTTCGCGACATTATATAATTGCATACTAAATTTATCTAATGAAAAAAATGAATGATCAATATTGCACGTCACAGTCAGTCCCCATATTTTATAGAGACAAAATGGTAAATATGAACTTTTATATATATAAATATTTTGAAAGATAAATGTTTGCTTCTAGTAGTTTCACTCTTGTGCATCGAGACATGACAAAAACCAAAGGAGTTTTGCTCAGTTAAGTGTGTGAGTGTTGTAACTTCTTAGTACCAAGTTTGATTCATTCCTACTAATTTTTTCAAGAATAAATATTAGTTTTCCTTCTCTAAACATATAAAATTTAATTTAGATACAGTATTATAATTGTGTTACTAAGATACAGCTCTGATTAATGTTAATTAAAAAATAGTAGCAAAATCATTTATATATGAAATGTAGCATTGCAATGCAAAACCAAAAAGAAAACATAAATGAAGTTGAGAATCTATGTCTGAAGGAGGCAACAAGTATAATTGAGTGATCAGGAGTTAAGGGAGAGAAGTTATTGGAAGTACAGTCATACTAACCTGTTTCTTTTTGCGAGTCAGATGCCATATGCGCCAGCACATATTCTCCAATCTGTTACTACGATCTCGGCTACTATTCCTTGTAGCTGTTACCTAAATTTCCGATTAAAGTATACATTGAATAAAAAATTTTGACACTAAGAACTAATTTGTTTTTATGAGAAAAAGTTTAAAAACTAAATGAGAAATTCAGCAAAAGTTTATGAATTAAAATTAAGAAAAAAAATTATTCATGGATTAAAAGAAATTAACAAAATGTATATTTTTAACCGATTAGAAATTATTGTTGTTATTATGAATTTTAAAGAAATTAATGTAAAAATTAACAAATTTATGATACATGTTAATTTATTTTAAAAGAAAAACATATAAAAAGATATTTACTTCTAAGATGATATTAACTTGAAGAGAAAAAAAAAACTAAATTATATATATATTAAAGTTATTAGTTAAATGATTTAATGATAAGCACATTGAGTGAACATCATCTAGTTGCTATCTCCCACCAGATGTATTCAGAAGCTACAAATTCCCCCTTTCTGTAAAAGTGGTCCCAATCTAAACGTAAATATTCTTCTTTATTTTAATATAAAACATCCAAAATTTGTGCCACAGTGAATTCGGATTTATAATTCATCATCAACCTTTCCTTTATATATTTCATTTAAAAAAATAAATATATTGCTGCATGATCCTTCTTTCACCCAATGACTCAGTAACCTAATAACAAAATGATCCAAAATAGTATTTGAGAAAGAGCAGTAACACATTTACACACTCTTCATGGAATCACTGGTGAATTTAAAATTTTGTTAATGAATTTTAATTAATCATAAGGATAAAATATGCTGGAGATTGAAAAGGAAATTAAATTAAGGCAAGAGAAAAAGTAATTAGTGTAGCATTACTTTAATGAAAATTGAGTGAGTAAAGATAGAGAGAACCTTAACCCAAGTCCTGTAAAGGTCATGTTCATCAAAGCTATTGACAACTTCTTGAACGAAGTACTTGGTGGTGGGATTAAACAACTTTTCTTCCTTCTCATATTTTTGTTGCTCTTCAAACTTTGCAATATTGTTCTTTAGCTTCCCATCATTTTTCTTCCTTACACTGCTTCCCACGTCCAATATGGCCTCCAAATAACCATTCAGCCATTCGTTCACAGCAGCCATATATGTTTCTCAATCAATCTCCCAACACCCTTTTGAACATGAAACTCTGTAGCCACGTGAGAGTCACATGCAGCTTCGATGACATCTTTGTATCAGTTTGCATATGCTTTATAACTCATCAATATTGCTGAATGCATAGATATTAGATAGATAGAAGAAACTGTGATTTCAGTTGTTCAGAGATATTAGATATATAGCAGTCTCTTTATATAGTTTAAAAATCTTGAAAGGGAATATAATTTATATTTTTTAAAGCTTGTGAGAATATAAGAAATGGGTGGCTTTGATTTGATTCTCTATATAATATCTCGTATTCCTTGCTTGAAAAAAAGTAAATTATTTGAACCAAATATCCGTATTCTTTTGTTATATTCTCCATTTGCCTTCATTATTTATTCAATTACCTACTTGAAGGATATATAACTAATCAGTGCGTATATATTGAATGATATATGTTTAATTTAACATTGAGAAATTGATATTTGAGTTGATGTAATTTTAGTATTAGATGAAAACTTAGCTTTCTTACTAACTTACTTTTTTAAATATATAAATCTGAGTTATATAGTATTATCGAAAAGTCTGGCATCCCTAACCTTCGTTATGGAGAGTCTCATTTTGCCAACTTATTAATTACTTAAAAGGTGCAGGAATCCAACAGGTATACCTAATTAAAGGTGTCCATGCATGATAAAGCATTTTTTTTTCTTTTGGTTTTTTGACTGAAAAGCTTTTTTTTTTTTTTTCTAAGACATCTTTTACAGTGATGAAAAAAATTCCTCTATAAAGGTTTATAATTTAATATCAGACCAATATACGTAATACCATACCAATTATTTTTTTACAGGAATATAGTAATATCTTACTTACATTCAATTGATTGAGTTCTTTCAATACCTAATATTCACGTGTTTGTCGCAAAGGTGTGAAATTTAAGCGCACAATTATTAATTATTTTTCTTTAAATAATTAGATGCGATATAATTTAATTCTTTAGTCTCAAACATAAGGATTTTTTTTAATATATAGGATAATTTAAAATAAAAAGGCACACCTAATTAATTTCACTCCTGTTTAATAATAGTATCTCTAAAATATTTTTTTATTTAGTTAAAATTTTATTTTTAATTATTCTTTTTTATTTATGATATTAAGTTTTAATGAAAGACAATTTAGAAAGAAAAACGTTTATTGTTTAATTGAGATATTTAGTCTTCTCAATGTTTTTTTAGATATTTAGTAAAATTCAATATTGTCAACTAATTTTTTTAATTAGTATGTACCGAGAATATGCCTAAATATCTTTAGGAGAATATATTTAATTTTTATAGGAGAATAAATTAGTATGAATTGATTATTTTTTATTTATATTTGAGTTCGAAGAAATATTTCAAAAAGGGAGAAAAGTTATGATGGTAGAAGAATAACGAAGATATTCGACAAGAAAAATGATCAAATTTGACTTGCATGGGCATTGCTATGGCCTGTCTTTTTTACTTTTGTTTTAACGATGTGTCCAAACATTTAGATTTTGCTACTACGAGACCATGTGAACGAAGCATCATATTGATAACTTAAAATATTGAAGATGGCATTCAAATGGCGACTTGCATAGGCAGGATAACAAGAATCTAATAATGAAAAAGAGAAGATAAAGTGAGAAAAGGGATCAATGGAAAGAGAAACAAAAACCAAAGGTGGTGGAAAAGAGATGTATCGTATGGACATGAAATGTGTGCAAGTTACGTCAAAAGATGGGAGATAGGTATTAAGTGGGCAAGCATGAATTAAAGATATATGGAGCTGAATATCGAGAAAGGGAATAGCCCCTCAAAGAATATTTCAAGGAATATCCAAATGTTGGTGTTTGTTACATGAGGTTGTATACGTCCAAAATGACAATATTGGGACCAATAATTTGATGACTAGTGGATTAAAACCGTCATGTCACTCTTATGTTTAGGAATGGAAATGGGCCCATGGAGACGGGTAATAGTAAACTCGCTCCCGCCTCGCTGAATGAAAATTGGTCACATACCCAACCCATATTCATGCGGGTATCCATTAAGTGGGTATCCATGAATTTCTTGAATATCCACAGATAAATTTTTTAAGAAATTAAAAAAAATATTACAAATAATTTTAAGTTTATATTTAATGTCATTGAAATATTAAAAATAAAAATTTAATGTTAATTTTGAATTTGTATTTAACGTTAATTTTGTTAAAATAATAATAAAAATGTAATATAATCAATAACTTAAAATACATCAATATGACAAGTAAGTTAAAGTCTCATTACAAAGTTACAATAATTCAATCTCATAATTCCAAACGAAAGCAAACAACTTAAATTACATAAATCTTATTAGCTCAATCAAAGCTAGAAAATTAATCAAATTACATCTAACATAATTCTATAACATGCTTAACACATATTAGTAACTTCATCAACCTCACTTTTGTAAGAAAATAAGATGAGAAAGTGTAGTTTTAGGGCTATGTGGTATAAGGATAATTAAGATATTTAAGAAATAATATTAAACGGGTATCCGCGGGTATGAATATCATTATACCCGCCCCCGCCCCATTTATAAACGGGTAAAAAATATCCGTCCCCATTATCCGCGGGTACCCAATTAGCCTATCCATTTATTACTCGTAGCGAATTTTATCCGCAGGTACCCGCGGGTGCGAGTATTTTTGTCATCCCTACTTATGTTTGGTATTTTTAATTTGTTTAAAATTGTAAAAATAGTATTTTTAAAATTCTAAATTTTTAATTAGCACTATTATATACTATTTTACATCCTACATTTTTATATCAATTGTGTAATGATTGGTGTATAAAGTAAGATAGTGACAAATTTTTTATTTGAAAACAATTATTTTAAATAGATTATAAAATAACTTATGTAAAAAAAAAACTTCTCTTACATCGGTTATAATCAAAATCAATGTAGTCTATGTAGTAAGTGGTACTTGGATTTTGGTTTCCTCCATTCTCTTTTAAGATTTGAATGTGTTGGGGTTGTTGTTTTTATTTTTTATTAGGTTAGGGGTAGAGGAAACAAGTTACATAAGAGGTGTGGATTAAAGGATGCATAATGCAAAGTTGACGATGTGGGTGTGGAGGAATTGTAGAGTTGCAAATGTTATATTTATATATTTATTTATATAATTATTCTCTATTTTATTATTATTATGGATTAACATTAATAAATAAATTATATTTATATGTTAATATTAATTATATTGCACATTATTATTATTATTATTATTATTATTATTAATCTATGGGTAATATATATTGGGCTTTTGATGAATGGTCTGTGATGGGTTGGACTATTCAGTAGTCCGTTGAGAGGTCCCTAGTCTCTACTGGTAAGGATATAGAACTGGTATCCCATTAGTCAGTTTATATGATGAAATACATTTTGTCTTCTACCTTTTCATCTCCTACCAGGAAGAGAGCAGTCTTCTCTCACGTTGTTCAAGATCGACAAGAATGAATTTTTTATTAATTCTGGGTACACAATTATTTCTAATCCTTACTCAGACATACTATAATATTGTATCTTATATTGTTCATTATTTGAGTTATCACTATGAATTTCTTTCAATTGGTATCAGAGCTATTAAGATACAAATTATGGTTGTTCTAGGTTATAGAATCAGTATCCTATGTATGAATTATTCACAAATTGTATATAAAAATTAGAAATTTTTATTGTAGGATATTTATCCTAATGTGTAAATATTGTATAGGTATTGCAAATGTCATTTATCAGATTCAATTTTGATTTTGAATAATAGAAAAAAAATTTCTTCTTTGTTCGAAAAATGACAACTCAGATTATATTCATCAATTGAACAAATTGTCAAAGGGGTTTTCTTTCTACATGTATTTTAAACCTTGTGCAATTTTTTTTCTGAGCTTGTTCTATTCAGTGAGCAATTTAGATTTATTTTTCCTCATTTTTCGATGATTAGTCATTGCAATTGATTGGGGACTTTTATTTATCTCTGGATGTTGAATAAATTTGCACATTTTGAGAAAGAATTGATTAAAAAAAATATGAAAAATTTTTCGTCTCTTTTTGTCGCGGATATCTTCAAAACGCCAATTTCTTAGATTTGAAATTGTTTTCTTTGAATCGATTATTCCCAAAATTGATAGGGGGTTTTGGATTGCCGTGAAGGGACAATCATTTGGTCAGAAAATCGTAGTTTGTCGTTGCTTGTAATGGTGGTTTTGCACCGAATTTTTGTTATAGGTCGAACGACCCGTTTTCTATTTTTCGAGTGAGGGAGAAGATGAACAATAACGCGCGTGCCTATCCACTCGTAGAGCCAGGCACGTCAGACCCCTATTTTGATCAAAAAATTTATATTTTAGGAAGAGAGCAGTCTTCTCTCACGTTGTTCAAGATCGACAAGAATGAATTTTTTATTAATTCTGGGTACACAATTATTTCTAATCCTTACTCAGACATACTATAATATTGTATCTTATATTGTTCATTATTTGAGTTATCACTATGAATTTCTTTCAATTGGTATCAGAGCTATTAAGATACAAATTATGGTTGTTCTAGGTTATAGAATCAGTATCCTATGTATGAATTATTCACAAATTGTATATAAAAATTAGAAATTTTTATTGTAGGATATTTATCCTAATGTGTAAATATTGTATAGGTATTGCAAATGTCATTTATCAGATTCAATTTTGATTTTGAATAATAGAAAAAAAATTTCTTCTTTGTTCGAAAAATGACAACTCAGATTATATTCATCAATTGAACAAATTGTCAAAGGGGTTTTCTTTCTACATGTATTTTAAACCTTGTGCAATTTTTTTTCTGAGCTTGTTCTATTCAGTGAGCAATTTAGATTTATTTTTCCTCATTTTTCGATGATTAGTCATTGCAATTGATTGGGGACTTTTATTTATCTCTGGATGTTGAATAAATTTGCACATTTTGAGAAAGAATTGATTAAAAAAAATATGAAAAATTTTTCGTCTCTTTTTGTCGCGGATATCTTCAAAACGCCAATTTCTTAGATTTGAAATTGTTTTCTTTGAATCGATTATTCCCAAAATTGATAGGGGGTTTTGGATTGCCGTGAAGGGACAATCATTTGGTCAGAAAATCGTAGTTTGTCGTTGCTTGTAATGGTGGTTTTGCACCGA